CCAGGGGATCGATTGGTTTTGGCGCGATGTGAGCCTAGGTAGGGTAGGAGCTTGCACTGCTTCGCCGCGCGCGCGCACGCACGTCACGCACGACACGAAGCGAAACCGAAAAGAATTTCCCGATTTGGGGGGTCCGTTTCAGTTCGGCCTCACCCCCCCAACTTGCGAGCCACGGCCTCGCGATCTGGACTGTTCGGCCGCGGCCCCATGGATGCAGGGCGGCTGTGCGCGGATGCCCCGCACGGGACTGGATATTGTCGACGGTCACGATAGCCACCTGGCCCGCGAAGATGGTGGGCCCCGTGCCCACGAGACCCCTCTCCACGTGCGCCTGGCGTTCACCCTGCATGCCTGCGAGGTCGCGGCGCAAGACCACCAGCCCGTCGCGCACGGCGCGCACCAGCCCGTCGCGCACGGCGCGCACCAGCCCGTCGCGCAGCGTCTCCCCCGTGCGCCGCTCTTCGCAGCCGCGGCGGGGCGCGCAGAAGCCGGCAGAGGAGTTCAAGCCCTGAGTCCGCCTCGGGCCACGCGCCGCCCGTCACGGCCGCGGCGTTGCTCGCAGGGGGCGGCAGAGGGGTCCGCCCCCGCAGGGCCCACGATCGACACAGGGCCAGTGGCCAGCAGACCAGGGGCTGCCAGAGGTGACCGCGGCCCGAGGTGTCCGCAGCCTGTCGCTTCGCTGGGGAGGAGGACGAAGAGGACGAGGAGAAGGAGGACCAGTGCAAACCCAAGAGTCATCAACGATGTTGAAGTCAACCCTCCCCCAAAGCTCCCTCTTCATAGGCCCCTGCAACGGTTCGTTTCCATTGAGGGAACTGCCTCGTTGGAAAACACCTGTTTGAAGACCCTGAAGCATGCCGAAACATTGTTCTCGGGATTCCAACACCACGGATCAATCTGATTGTTGCGTCTTGACGATCTTGAATCGTGCCAGCACGCCATTCTTACGACTTCAACACAGAGAATCAACGTAATTGTTGCGGCCGCATAATCCATCATCCTTCCAAAACACCATTTCTGGTACGTTGATGATGGGAACCCGTGGAACTCCTGAAAATGTTGTAAACCAATGTGCGTGGCACTAAGGCGAGAGCCACATGTTGAAAAGGAGCCGCCCTCGATCCGTGAAATTGCTGCAATTGTTCAAGAGCGAATGTGCGCCGCGCTAAGACGAGAGCCACATTTTGAAAACCAATCGCCCTCAATCCGTGAAGCTCGTGCATTTTTGTTAAACGAATGTGCGCGGCGCTAAGGCGAGAGCCGCATTTTGAAAACGACCCGCCCTCAACCCGTGAAACTCGTGCAATGTTTTAAAACGAATGTGCGCGGCACTAAGGCAAGAGCCACATGTTGAAAAGGAGCCGCCCTGGATCCGTGAAATTGCTGCAATTGTTTAAGAGCGAATGTGCCCCGCGCTAAGACGAGAGCCACATGTTGAAAACCAATCGCCCTCAGTCCGTGAACTTGTTGCCAATGTTTAAGCTTCAGAGGCATACATGGTGAGGAAGTATCAGGCGAAACGCCCGGACCGCCCTAAAAATTGGCAGTGGGGTGCGACAAGGAGAAGTCATGTATAAGGAAATGTAATGGAGGAGGAGGAGGAAGAGGAGGAGGAAGAGGAGGAGGAGGAGGAGAAGGAGGAGGGGGAGGAGGGGGGGGGGAGGGGGGAGGGGAGGGGGGAGGAGGAGGGGAGGAGGGGGGAGGGGAGGGGCCGGGGCCGGGCCACCCTGGGCCGCCATTGCCTCCCCAGAACCAGGACCACCCTTTATCACCGAACGCGTTCCACTGCTCGCACAGTGCCTACTCGCAAGCATCCAAAAGACGCATGTCTGCTTCGGTGTAGCTTATCGTAGATCCCCCGCGGCGGATCCAGGGCACTTGCGAGTAGTTACTTTGCGAGTAGTGGAGCGCCCTCGTCCTACTCGTAGCAGCGCCCGAACCGCAGCACCTGCCCTTTCTGGACAGGGCTCGCTGTCGGTGCTGCCGCGTGCGCTGTCCATTCGTCAAGCAGTGGCGAAGCGTCCTGGCTTGCCTGTAGGCCCACCAAGGAATGTTCTGCGAACCTGTCGTGGTCTGCACGAGATGTTTTTAGAACTTTTGTTTCTAAGAACATGTCGTGGTGGGCCTCCACGAATGCCGGGACGGTAGGTTCCAGCGGCAACCGACGTCGGTTTTGGGCGACATTTGGTGTTGGGTACCGCCCCCGCTCTGTAGGCCCCCATGGCCTGCGTCCCCAGCCTCGCTTTGTTCGGATGCAACTCTTGGGAGGTTATATTTTTATGATTTTGCCCTGGTCCAGCTCCATCCCGCATAAGCCGGCTTAGTCAAGCTTCATCCGGCATGATCCCGCTGAGTCCGCGGCCTAATCCGGCGTAGCAGCCCCCCAATGGAATGGGGCTTGATTCTTTCTTTCTCTTTCCAGCGATGGCCTCTCAGTAGCTGCCTCCTAGCCTCTCAGAGGCGTGAGGCCATGGCTGGGCGAGGCCGACACCGTTTCACCCGGCGGGGCGTGCAGCACTGCTCCGCCCCTGCCGGGCAGGGGTATTTGGTCAGTACCGTTTAACCGACCCCCTTCCCCATCGGCATCCCTTTCGAGACCCCCACCAAATTACCCCCCCAGTTGGGGATACACCCCTCGAAACCCGAAGGGAATCTATATCCCATCTGGCCGCGCCGCTGGAGACGGGGATCGGTTAAACGATACTCATTTGGCCTCTGCGCGCGGGTGCCCGGAGGGCCCCGTTTTTTGGGCGGCGAGCGAGGAGCAGGCACCCCCCGCGGGGGCCCCGTGGGAGGCGGCACGACCGCGCCTGGCGCTCCAACTGGGCGGCGCGCCCGGAGGGGAAGCGAGAAGGGGCGGGCCTCCTCGGAGGGCTCGAAGGTTCGGGGGTGGACAGAGACCCCACCCTGACACGTTGATCAGTGAATTGTCCGTTTTCGGTTCTCGAGAGGGCGCCGCGGCCGTCATTTTCCAGGCTTGCGCCCGCCAGGTTTGGGCCCGAGGTCGTTTTCACGAAACCGCGTTCTGCCAAAGGGGTTCTGTCCATCCCCGAAAGATCCCCCGGCCTTCTGAGAAGTTGTCTGAGCCTCCCCCGAAGACACAGAAGACCTCGCACGAGGAAGGAGGCCTTCTGAGAAGCGCCGCCGCCTTCCGAGAAGGCCTTCTCTTCCCATTTCCCCCCCTCGCTCGCCGCCGAGTCTTGGCATTGGCTGTGGTCCTCCTTCTGGAGAGGGGAAACACACACGCAGACACAAATAATCGCCGATCCCCCCTGGAAACTATGGGAACTATGAGAAGTGGTGGGGAAGACGAATGTGGGGCATCCTGGGATTCGTGCCTGTTTATCTGTGTGTCCCTGGGCCCCTGTACTACACCTGCTCCACCGGGGGCATGGCCCAGGCAGCCAGAGCCCAACCTGATCCTCCAGGTGAGCTTTTTTGATTCATTCTTTTGCCGATTGGCGCGCCCTCGCACCCCCCCGTGGAGTAGATCTTGGCTGTTTGAGCCCCCACAGGACGCACGATCCCAAACAGTCGCACTACGCAGAGGTCCGGAGCCAGACTCCCCCCCTCCCCCCCTTTCCGCCAAATGTCGGAACGCCGAACTAAAAAACGTTAACCAGAGGCCCGAGGCGGCCCCCACAGGGTTCACGAGTGCACCTCGGGGAGGTCTGATTGGCTGCCTGTTTCTTTGGCCTTTGGTGCGGGGCAGGCGAACCGCTCGGAGGAGGAAAAGGTACCCCTGCCGCTACCCCTCCCTCGTTTTCGCCTCGTTGGGCCTCCTCGGGGGCCCTCGTTGCCACCACTGGATTTACCTCGACACTCAGAACGCACCCCGGAAGAGGTCCCAGGAGTAGCGGTATTCGTACTTTTTTATGGTTTTCCTAACCACAGCCTTTCGAACAGAATCATCGGCATCATGAGCAGCATTTTGACGGTTTTGTGAAGTTGGCATGCCGGAAACGCTCCGGCCTGGCGGTGCTTTTGCGGCCTTCTCTGAATATGTCTCTCTCTCTCACACATCCCTCCCTCCCTCCATCCCCCCTCCACTCTTCTTCCTCTCTGCCTCCCCCGCTTCTCCTCGCCTCTCCCTCCAGGCTCGGGAGACTCGGACGGCTCAGATCAGTTCGGCCGCTCCCAGCGCTCCGCCTCAGGCCTCGGAGGCCGTCACTCTGCGACTTTTCGACTGGGCCCAGCTCCAGGGTCCCGCTCCGCCTGCGGCACAGGCTGCAGGCTCGTGATATTTTACTGCTGCTTCCCGGCAGCACTAGGGCGGGCGTGTCCCTCCCTTCTCTCCTTGCCCTCCTCTGTCTTCGTCCTCATGCCAGTCCGCTCCCTTCTCTGCCCCTGCCCCTCCTCGCCATCTCCCCTTGACGCAGCAGCGCTTTGGGTCCCAGCCCCAGCTGCGGCGACGCCGAGAGCGGGACGACAACGACGACGAAGACGACGAAGACGACGACGACGAGGAAGTCGAGGACGAGGACGAGGACGAGACGGCACTTCTTACCTGCTCGTGGGATATGTCCGCGTTTTCGGGGGGACCAAGCAGACAAGCCCAGACCAGACTAAGCAGATCAATTCGGCCACCAATATTCTAATGCAGCTAAAATTGTTGTGCTGCGGATGGGCCGCGAGTAAAGTTTTATATACAGGTGTGTGTGTGTATACATATATATATATTAGACAGGCTAGACCTACCATCCAGACCACCCAGACCAAGCAGACTAGGCAGACCAGCCAGTCAGATCTGCCAGGTAGACCGACCATACCAGCCAGGTAAGCCAATAAGACCAACCAGACCAGCTAACCGATCAGACCAGTGAAAAACTGACCAGACTAAGCAAGTCAATTTGTCCAGACCACACCCAGACAAGACTAAGCAGATCAACCTGACCGGACCAAGTGGACTAGCCAGAACAGCCAGTCAGACCAGCCAGACCAGCCAGCCAGACCAGTCAGAGCAGCCAGCCAGACCAGCCAGCCAGATCAGGCAGCGCCACATTTCTGTAGCCATTTTGGCTCAAGCCGCGCGGGGGGGCGCCCTTTCCCGCATTCTTGAGTGGCCACGGTCTTCCGCTGATGTCGGGCGATGTCAGCGATGTGGATGCGCATCCCGCGGCCTGGGGCGCGCTGGCTGGCGCCGTCGAGCTAGCAGCGCGCGGGGCGGCTGCGGGCGCGGCGGGCTCAACGTGGCATGTAGCGGCGGCTGCGGTGGCGGCCGCCGTCCGCACGGCCGTGGAATCGCTGGCGCCGCTGGCGATGGCCGTCGAGGCCCCTTTCGGCGAACATCGAGGAGCTCGCCCTCCGCCTCGCGGCGATGGCTCCAGCTCTGTTGCAGGCCATCCGCGGCCAGCAGGCAGGAGGAGCCGTCCGTGGGCGCGGAACCTTGGCGCGCACGCCTTGCTGGGCGATGGGGCCGCTGCGCTGGCGTCGGCGCTGGAGCGGCCTACCTGCGCCCAGCGGAGCGGGCGCGCTGTGCGTGCTAGGCGTGCGGCGGCGGCAGGGCCATGGCAGCCTAGCCTCCGCCGCTGCGCTGCAGGCCCATCCTCGGCGGCCACCGTGCTCGAGGAGGTCGACAGCGAGATGGACAAGTCTGGCGGCGGCTCATCCGGAGGGAGCGGCGTGGGCCCAGGGCCTTGGGCTCCCAGCCTCTGGTGCTGCCGCGAGTCGGGCGAGGAGTGGGCCGCCCCCGCGGCAGGCGGCGGCGATGCTGCTGCGGACGCCCCTGGCGCCGCGCCCCATGGTGAGGCGCGGCGCCAGGCGCCGCGGGCGTCGCCCCAAGTCCCTGGACGTGGTGAAGACCGTGCGGTTCTCTCAGAAAGACGTGACCGACTCCGACGACGATGGCGCTCCTGGCCCTGGCGAGCTGGAGGGTAGCGTCGGCCCCGCGGCCCCTGGGCCGCCTCCGCCCCCGGAGGCTGCTGGCGCGCCTGCCCAGGGCCTGGGCGGCGGTGGGGTGCCTGGCGAGCGTGCGGATCGCAGCGCCAGCGATGCCCCCGCCTCCGCAGGCTCCTTGCGGTCGCCGCCTGGGGGCGCGCAGCAGGTCAACGCGCCCAACGGTTCGGCGTGCAGCACGATCTGTTCGGACAGCGCTCGCCTCGACACCCATATTGTGCAATACTTGGCTCGGAATGATGCGGCCCTCTTGAGCGGGGGCACGCAGGCTCCTCCTGCGCCCACCGCGCCCAGAGGACCCATGAGGCTTCGGGTGCTGCGGCGCCAGGTGGCGCCTAGCGCGGAGGCATCCATCGTCGACCGCGAGGTTGTGGACGGCGACTTCGATTCCGAGGTGGATGATGACGGCTCGCACCGTGAGCTCGTGGAGCGCGTCTTCCCTCTCTTGGCAGAAGCGGTGGCAGCTGGCGACGAGGACACGCTGCTGCCCCTCCTCCTCCGCGAAGCTGGCATTGGCTTCTCGTCCAGGCCTCCTGATGTGCGTCGCCACGCGGCCGGCGTGCTGGCCTCCATGGAGAGCTTCCTCGCCGAGGGGGCTGCAGGTGATGGCCCTCCGTGCGCCGCCGCGCGCGCTTGCGACAACAGTTCCTACGTCTCCTCCGTGGAGGGTGTCTTCAGGGACTTCAGACCTGACCATGGCCAGTTCCTCAGAGATGAGTTTTCTGATGGCAGTGAGCGCGCGGCCGAGTGCGACCTCGAGCGCGCCGAACGGCTGGCCCAGGGCTCGCCGAGCTTCGCCGAGCAGCAGGCGCTTCGCCGCTCCGAGGCCCTGGCCCAGCTTGATGATTGATGGGCTCCCGCGCGCGTCCTCTTGTGGACCCCTTGCGGGCCTTCTGGCCGCCGGCGCGTTGTCGCGCAGATTCCCGCGCCCCGCCCGGGCCTTGCCGCGCGCGGCCGCGCGAGCTTGTTTGGGGGGTCGCCCGTCGCAAGGCCTTGCACTTTAATGTTTTCCTGTTTGACTTGGGGTGCTGCTGAATCGTTGCGCTTCGCGCCGATCGTGCTCCCTGACCCCTGGGGCTCCGTGGCCCTCCTGGGTGTGGCGCGGGGCCCGAAGTGGCCCGCGCCCGCTTTGCTTGCCTCCTGGGGCTCGCGCGCGCTGCGCCGCGCACGCCCTGCACGGGGGCGACCCTGGTAGGCCTTGTGGGACAGGCCCAGAGGAGGCCTCGGGCTTCGGCGCCTCAGCGGCGCCCCCATCCAGCCTTTATAGGCCCCGCAGAACCAGAGCCAGGCAGCGCCACAACAGCGCAAAAAATGCAACGCAGGAAAATGATGGAATTCAAAAAACACTGCAATGCAGAATCATAACTGTTCGCGTGGTCGTCGCCGACATGTGCGCCTCAAAGTCTTAAGCTGAAGTTCTTGCAGCGCCATTGCAGCGCCAAAAAATGCAACGCAGCCAATGTTGCAATGCATCAACAATTGCCATGCGAGAAAGCATGTGGTCGCGACGTCGTCGCCGACATGTGCGCTGCAACCCTCCCTGGATCCCCCTAAACCACGGTTGGCTCGCACGCGGAATCCCGAGCTCTCTAGCAGCGCCCCTAAAGCGCAACAGAACTTGCAGTGTTGAGCCAATTGCAATGCAAAAGCATCGGCGTTAATGCCGTCGTTGCCGACATGTGCTCTGTATGCCTTGCTGACCCCCCCCCCCCCCCCCCCGGGCCACGCTTGACTTGCGCGCGAAGTCCCGAGCCCAAGCTCTGGCAGCGCAGCTTCAGCGCAAAGAACACGGCGACGCTAACAACATGCAATGCCCAAATAATGCAATACAGCAAACCAAGGAAATGCGACAAACGGCGCGATGCAAAAACACTTGGCGTTCTGTCGTCGTCGCCGACACGCGCGCTTCAACCCTCCCTTAACCTCCCCAAACCACGCTTGGCTCGCGCGCGGGGCCCGCAGCTCTCGCGCAGCGCGATTGCAGCGCGAAAAAATGAAACGAAGAAACATACGTTGCAGTGCATCAAAAAATGCGTTCGCGCGGTCGTCGCCGACACGTGCGCTTCAACCTTCCGTGAATTCCCCCCAAGCCACGCTTGGCTTCAACGCGGAATCCCAAGCTCAAGCTCGAACGGCGCCACTACAGCGCAAAACCAATGCAACACAAATAAACGGCAATTCCAAACATAGGTTTTGCAAAGACAGTTGTTGTCTTGCGGTCGAAGCCGACATGTGCGCTCCAACCCTGCCTGGCCTGAAACTCCCTGAACCACCCTTGGCTCCCACCGCGGAATCCTAAACTCAAGCTCGAGCCGCAAAGGTGTAATTGAAATCTCTAGTTTTAAGCTTGCTCTTTTGAAGCTTGGTGTCCAGCCGCCCGCCACAACGGCTGCGAACGTTATCCAGCTCCGTCCCCCTCCACTCCCAGGGCCATCCTTATTGTCGTCTTCCACCCGTGTCCTCCTTCTCCACGTCTCCCACTCACCTCACCACCTCTCCTCGCCATTTACTCCCCCTTCCGCCCTATCCTCCGTCTCCTGGCCCCAGGTCCAGATCCTTCTCCCACTCCTGGAGCCTTCTCCTACCCCTGTCACACCTCCTTTCTCATTCGTCCTCCCCTCGAGCGTGTCTGCCCCATTTCGTGCCCAGGGATCCTCGCGGCTCCATCTGGGTCGAGACGCACAGAAGAACGATTGGGTTGACAATTCTTGTCGCGATTCGTTCACGGTTGTATGATTTGTTGCGAGCGTTATATTGCGAAGAATTGACGGTTGGTGCCGCCGGCCCTCAAGGCGGGATCGCCCCCTATATTTTTTTGTTGCTCCTTCCGACCCGCCCAGAAACTTTGGGAGGGGCGGTGCTGCATTTTGGCCCGCGACCCGCCATCCCCCCCATCTCCCCCCGACAGAAGGGAAAAAGAAAAGAGAAGCGACGGAATTACGACGTTCCTTTTCTTTGTTCCTCAATATCTCGGGACGGGCGACGACGGCGACGACGACAGCGTTTCACACACGCCGAAGGGTCGACGGATGTTCAACGTCGGCGTCCGAGGGCCGTCGCCGGGCTCTGGCACCAGCAAGACAAACAGCCCACAGAGAGACGACAATCCCCAAGCTGGGGGCTAGGAAGGGGCCAGAAGAAGGAGAGCAGGCGCATGGAGCCGACCAAGCCTCGACGGGCCAAGAGCTGGATGCAGGTCTCTGTGGATAGAGCCTTCTCGTCTGGCCAGGGGCCGACCATCTAGCCCAGCATGTAGAGGCTTGGTGATGGTAGTGGTATATCCATCGGTCGTTGAAAGTAGGTATTGCTGGATTCCCAAATTCCAATCGATTTTAAGCGCCTTCCTACTTCAATGATCGAGTGGTTTCGCCTTTGTCCGTCCTCCTTAGGGGGCAGACGGAACCCAATATATTTTCAACGCCTTCCTACTTCATGTTTCTACCTACAGTTTCGACCGATTGGTAGACTGCTCTTTCCCCTGAAAGGAAGTGGTGCCAAACGGATTTGGACCAGATTCAGCACTCGCCAACGAAGAGTATAAACAGAATTTGCCAGAGCCACCCGCGGATGTTCGAAAGTTTCTGTTCAAGATGCTGTTGTGTCCCATGCTTCGGAAAGGAGGTTACATGGCGGATGGATGGCCTGACCCCTTTGGTGATCGATTTTTTCCCATGCTTCAGGCAGGAGGTTACTCGGCGGATGGCTGGATTGATCTTTTTTGGTATGCCTATTTCGGGGCATAAAGGAGGCGGAAGAGGAGAAAGGCCGTTCCTCCCTTTGCTTCATCTCCCTTCCTCCTCCTCATCCTCCTCTTTGGTGTTCAACGGGTGGCTGCAAGCACACATTGTTGCTTCTGCGGGCGTGGGCAAGTGCCCGAGAAGCAGTTCTTGCCCACCCCTTGACTTGACTGTCACCTTCGTGGCCGAGAGTAGCGCAGGGCACCCTTTGGGTCACGTGTCGATTGCCAATGTTTAATCGAAATCTCATTCCCGCGTCAGCAGGTAAGATGTTGACATGGGCGATCTTTCAGCGGCGCAGCGGCAGCATTGCGCCGCGTGCGGCCTGTTTTCCTTAGCTCGGCGGTGTCCTACTAACAAGTCGCGTG